CAGGTGGCCACCAATGGAATCATCTCAACTCAGGATCTTCCCATGGAGAAGCAGTATGTAGATGACGGCTTCCCCACCGACTTCCCTGTCATCGCCCCCTTCCTGGCTGACATTGACACCAGCAAAGGAAAAGGATCCATCTTCTACCGGCAGACGGAGTCTCCTACCGTGTTGAAGCGGGCGGAAGCGGATGTCAAGAGAGGCTTTCCAGATGCCACATTCACCCCAACTCATGCTTTTATCGCCACCTGGGAGAATGTGTCAGCTTATGAGGAGGTCACCCGCAGCTCTAGCCCATCCAGTCGGGTAAGTGAACTGCTTATAGTCGTACTACATCTGACCCTGAAGGTCTGACTTTACCCAAGCTCCTTTTAGGCCAGGGTTATCAAAGCTGGTCATCTGTTTTCTGACCTAATCTCAGGCCCAGAGGGTGTCTGAACGTACAATAGCGTCTCCCACTTACCTGCTAATCTATCCCAGAGCTTTTCAGTTTACCTGCAATTCACAGGAACAATTGGTGGGTCTGAACTGCTCCTAATTGTCCCTGTCACCACAGCAATTAGATCTTCTTAACACCTCACATACCACAGAAATGCCTGGGAAGGTTTTAGGTGATTAAAGCCACAGTGTTTCTCAGGGGTCTGATGGGCTTTTTGTAGTATTTTCTACAATATACTTAGTATATAGCATTCAGTGTTGTCAAGTCAAGCTTTATGACTATCAAAATGCCCTAAAATCAAACATTTATTTCTAATTATATTATCTATTAATATAATAAAATATGGTAATATAATAAAGATTATATTTTATAATACAATAACATATAATAACATTAATTAAAATAGTTTTTAGTGGAAAAAAATTGGCAATTCTAATTTATTTGCTATGGTAATTATACACAATTATATGTTGCATTTTATTTGCATTTAGCATTGATTTTGTCCATCAGAACAGCCCTGCGATTCGTTTTGAGTCACGATCCACCAGTTGGAGTGCATAAAAGTGCACTAGTGCGTATAAGAATACATTTTTATTTAGCAGGGACACATTAAATTGATCAAAAGTGACTGTAAAGACATTTAAAATGTTACAAAAGATTTATATTTCAAATACATGCTGTTCTTTTGACTTTCTATTTATCAAAGAGGTCTACAGTTGTTGGTGTGTAAGTGGAGTGGTTTCAGCTGAGATGGAACTGAATTCTGAGTGTTTTTGGTGTTTTCTAATGGGCGTTAATGAATGGGTCATTCTTCAAGCCTCTAGTGCACATTCGGCTCTTTCATCCAGACAGCTGAGCAGAAACAGCTGCATTGCTCATGAAGTATTATCATTTGTTATTCATTGGTTCCGGAAGCAGCATTTCTTCTCTTGGTTGGGTTGCATAAGGCCATGTTCATGTTTGTATCCTCAGAGTACATATTATCATCAGAACATGGTGTCTGAAATCAAATCTGAAGCCACTGTTATGAGGTATATCATGATCATCGCAGTCAAAGCTAAAGGCCACAAAGCATATACTAAATACTAGTATGGTATTTAGGCTGTTAAAAAATTGATATTCCACATTTAGCTGCCTATACGTGTTTGAAGAAAGCACATCCTTGAGTTGATTTACTATGTTTCCGCTGAAGCAGAGGGGGTCTAAATGGTAGAAATCTCTGGATGATATCTTATGTTTGCCTTTGGGATTTAAACCGCTTTATCTAATCTTGTGTCCCCTCCAGTCCCCAGATGTCTGTTTGTCTGCAGACGTCCTGTGGATGGAAGAAGTAGGGGCTTATGAGGGGATACTCCATGGAAGACACATAGTACCAATTCAATTTTAAAGTATTCAATTAATTTTTTTAATTTAAAGTACTTTATTGGCACAATTCTATTTATATACAATATTGCCAAAGAATTATACACAAAACAAGGTATGAGATAAAAGATAGAAAGAAATGTACAATAGAACAATAACAATAAAATATAGGAAAGAGATTCATCAAAATAAATAAACAACATAAAAAACAAACAGGCCAAAAGTTTGGAATGATTAGGATTCTTTAATGTTTTTAAAGGCTGACAAGACTGCATTTATTTGATCAAAAATAGAGTAAAATAGTAATATTGTGAATTATTGTTACAATTTAAAACAACTGTCTGTTTGAACATATTTTAAATGTAAGTTATTCCTGTGATGGCAAAACTGAATTTTCAGCATTACAAGATCCTTCTAAAGTCATTCTAATATACTGATTTGCTGCTCAATAAATAATATTCTTATTATAAATGTTGAAAATAATAGCACTGCTTGGTATTTTTGTGTAAACTACCATTCAGATTAAGTTAAATAAAATATATATTTTCAGCAAAGACACATTAAATTGATCAAAAGGTACAGTAAATAAAGGAACTTTGAAGAATCCTTAATAAAAAGCAAAATTAGGCAGCAAAAACTGTTTAGTGCTGACAATATGAACCCTTAATAGCTGAGCACCAAATCAGCAGATTATAAAGATCTTTAGCATTGTAAAAATATTTCACGGTATTACTGTTCTTAATGTTTTTTCATTCAAATAAATGCAGCCTTGGTGAGCATAAGAGACGTCTTTCAAAAACATAAAAAATCATAATTGCTCTAAACTTTTGATCAATAGTGTATCTCTTTAGAACTGTTACGAGCAAAGCTGTAGCATCCACAAAATAGCATAATACTGAAAAACTCAAATATTATTGACCCAATCATCCTGAATCGGACGCTCAGATGAGCAAATCTTGGCCAAATCACCTTTTCTAAAAGAAAATAATAATAATAATGTAGCACTCACCTGGCCAGGATAGCTCCAGCTGAAGCTGACATTCATCTCAGGTTCACCCAGAACTGTGCATGTAACATTGAAGATGTCTCCACCACTCACTATGTTCGAAGAAGCCTCAATAGTCACCAAGGGGGGGCCGCTAGGCACTACGAGGGGAAAAATGGCAAAACAAAAATGCATCTTTGCCAAAAACACTATGTAAAATGTGTTATTAGTGTTATTAGCAGCACTACTATGCTCTCCTCTTACCTTCCACATACAGCAGCTGGTATTTAGTGGATATTTGTGGAGTGGTTTTCGTGGTGCTGTTGGCCTTGCAGTAATAAGCGCCCTTGTGTTCTGGACTGGGGTTTTGGATGATGAAGCCCTTAGTGGGATTGTAAGAGATCTGGGTCCCATCCACAGCGATTTCTTCTGCAGGAACTTCCCTGTGCAGCGAGACTTTGATTTTGGGGTTTGTCACCCGGCACGGGACAGTGGCGGGCTTGTCAGGGCGCAGGTAGATGATCTCAAAATGGATGGCAGAGGGAACAAACAGCTCATCTTTGTCTAGATACAAAGAGAATTGTAACAATGTCTTTAGAGTTTCAAGATCACATAGATGATATGTGAGCAGATGCTGTACCTGTGAAGTATATGTAGGTAGCAGAGGTGCTTTCTCCATCCTTTGTACATTCTTCTCCGTCACAGAGCACCACCCAGCAGCTGTACTCCCCCGTATCAGCAGCAGAGGGCGAGGTCAGAATCAGCTGACTGTACCGCTCATGCTGCTTGATGCTGGAACAACACAATCAATTAAGTCTAGACTTGGGCTATGCATACTGATATCATACTACTTGTATTATTTCTGCAGTATATGATAGGTCTGTATATATACTATGGAATGTATGAGTCATTCTACAAATTTAGGTTACGTTTTATGAACACTGATGATAAATATTTTCTTCTGACAATTTTCTTCAGAAAATTCATATTTTATCCATAATGGAAAGCATATTCATTCAGTTTAGAAATCATTTCAGTTTGCTTGAAATAGCCTTGATGTCTCTTAAATGATATTTTTTGCAGTGTCCACGTTTGAAGTGAGCGGCTTAACTAAAACTAAAATCCTTTAAAAAGTACTTTAAATGAAAAAAACTTAAAATTAAGGGAACATTTCTCAGTTTCTTTTAGTTTAACTTGATGTACTAAATAATAAAAAAAAATTATAAAAACGACAAAAACACAACAAACCTACTAAAATGCTCAAATTAAAATGAAAACGGAAAATAAAAAAAATTATAATTTAGAAACTGTAATAGCATAGCATCTTATTGATAATAAAAGAACACTGGTTTAAATTAATTTTAAAGTTAACATTATACATTGAATTTATTTCTAACAGTGAATACTTCAGAATTTGTTTTAATTTGTTTTATTTTATAATTTTATATAGTTCATATTTTATTTTGCTCATGTCCACAAAAGTTTATCTACAATAACCTATTGTGAATTTTCTGAATGGATGAAATTATTAACCTACTAGATTTGTTTACAACTAGCACAAGCACAGAATACTGTATCCCGAAAAGCAATGTGTCCGACATGACCTTCCTGAAGTAACTACAGTTGACCACTGAATTAAATAGTCAGCATTTTTAACATTTGATTCCTTATCAGACAATTTTTGCAATTTTTTTATTTATTTATTTGTTTGTTTATTTACATTAAAATAGAAATTTGGGTAACACTTTATTTTAAGGTTTCCTTGTTACATGTTACACACATTTATTATTATAACAGCCAGAGCAGTGCCAGTGTGAATAAGAGCCAGAGCTTCATGATGGCTGAAGTGGAGCGTTCCAACAGAGCACACTGGGTCTGAGAGCAGCACAGGAGCTCTTCGTCCACTGTCTGTCCCGTTTACACAGTCAGCTCCATCCTCTGTGAGAAAAGAGGAATTTCCCCAACCCATCTGCACACTCCCCCTTCAGTGTCAGGCTGTGATCCTCTAATGCCCTCTGCTGGACTGCAGCTAGTTGCGGTATTGGCCTCATAATCCCAATCCCAATCCCAAATTAATAAAAAGTTTACCCAAAAATGAAAAATTGCTGTTAATTTTCTCACTCCCAGACCAATCCAAGATGAATATGACATTCTTTAGAACAGTAAAGAAGACTGAACCCATGGTCCTTGTCATTCATAATATGTAAATCGACAGGCACAGTCACTTTGAGTCAAAAAAGCAGACAACAAAAACTCGAAGAACATTTTGCAGCATTACGTCACGAAAGTGCGGACTCAGAGGGAGACCACGAGGGTTTAGGGTGCCATTTGAAACAGGGCCTTTGTCTGAGGCTTTGAATCACAGGTAATAATGTCATAAATAATGTTTAGTTTCTTACACAGACCGGTCGTTTTGCTTCATAAGACATCAATATATTGTCGTCTGTCCCGTTTACACAGTCAGCTCCATCCTCTGTGAGAAAAGAGGAATTTCCCCAACCCATCTGCACACTCCCCCTTCAGTGTCAGGCTGTGATCCTCTAATGCCCTCTGCTGGACTGCAGCTAGTTGCGGTATTGGCCTCATAATCCCAATCCCAATCCCAAATTAATAAAAATAGTTTACCCAAAAATGAAAAATTGCTGTTAATTTTCTCACTCCCAGACCAATCCAAGATGAATATGACATTCTTTAGAACAGTAAAGAAGACTGAACCCATGGTCCTTGTCATTCATAATATGTAAATCGACAGGCACCGTCACTTTGAGTCAAAAAAGCAGACAACAAAAACTCGAAGAACATTTTGCAGCATTACGTCACGAAAGTGCGGACTCAGAGGAAGACCACGAGGGTTTAGGGTGCCATTTGAAACAGGGCCTTTGTCTGAGGCTTTGAATCACAGGTAATAATGTCATAAATAATGTTTAGTTTCTTACACAGACCGGTCGTTTTGCTTCATAAGACATCAATATATTGTCAGGAGGCGCATAGATTCATTTTGTGTTTTTATATCTGCTTTTTTTGACTCTCAAAGTGACGGTGCCTGTTGACTTGCATATTATGAATCACCAAGGGCCATTGTTCAGCTCTTCTTTACCATTCTACTGAATAAAGAAAGTCACCTACATCTTGGATGGCCCAGGGGTGAGTAAATTAACAGCAGATTTTCATTTTTGGGTGAACTATTTGATAGTATGAAATATTGTGAGATAGGTTTGTCTGATTTATATCATTCATTTTATACCCATGCCTCACAAATAGAGGTCACCTTATCAATACTTTTATTAATTATATTATTATTATTAAATGGGCAGTTCAGTTCTGTTTCCATTGGCAGTTGAGTTATGCAGTTTTGCAGTCATTTGACATCAAATATCATCTACTTTTGTTTTGAACATTAATTTAACATTACTTGAACTCATATGAAAAAATTATGTTCTATGAGATGAGATGAAAACTAAACTACTGAACAGCTCAACAGACCCACCAACCAAGAAAAAAAATCCATTCAAATTTAAATAAAATGATTTAATGCCTATTTAAAATAATGTGGGGAAAACTTTGTTGAAAAGGAAGAAATATTTTATTGTTTTATATGAAACCACAATCCGCACATTACTTACATTATTAAAAAATGAATTATAATGATAAGATACAATGATACAAAGGCTTTAAATGAAAGTTGATGTGCATTACTTAATGAGACATTAACACGTTGTTATTAATGGTTGTTCCACAATCTTAGCCTCTCAATGACTCAGTAACACCGCAATCTACAACTCAAAATTGAGTATTTATGGCGGAGAAGGACTTGAGCGCTGGATAGCAGAAGAAACACTTTCAGATGCTCAGGTTGTCCATTTTTTAGACCACTGCTTGCATCACTTTGTTAGCTGGATTAAACATATTGTCATGTATTGAATGACCGCAGTGAACTATGTAGTGTAGATTGTTGATTATTCATCATAACATTTCTGAAAATGTCAGATTACTTAATTGTAGAGTAAAAAATGTAGAAAGTAAATAAAGGTAATTTTACAAGACAAAACTTCCTCTTCAACATCATCAGACCTTCTGGTTGTTAAACAACAGATGAATACTGTACATTGTAAGATATCCCTGTCAAACATTAAGCGATAATTACACAACACATGTAACATAGATTAAGATAAAAAGTAGTGTTTATCAGAATGCAAGAAAACATGAAATAGTGTTATCCAAACAGCTTAACATCTCAGGCACATACAGTAAGTTAAAAGAAGTCATTCTAAATTCTAGAATTAAACACTTTAACAAGACAAGTCAAGCATGTAGACATGCCGTGAAGCTGGCATGTTTTTTATTTATTTAACAAACTAACAGTGGAAGTACTCTTAAGATACTGTCTGTGGAAATCTTAATACTTTCATGCAAAAAAAACAAAAACATGCTATCCCTTTTTCTTCAAAACACATTTAAAAAGAAATTGCTTAAAACACAGAGGTATGTCTTACAGGGGTGAAAATACTTGCTCTGACAACAATTCAATGCTATTCTAATTATTTATTAATGAAAATTCATAAAATTGAAAATTGAAAAAAAAAGAGATTTGGTCACTATTCATGTTCAGTTATTTTGCTACTATTCATAATTATGTATGTTTTATATCCAAAGTCACAAATATCAGTTTATATTGGGTACAGAATCAATTCCATAATCAATGCATTGAATTTTCATTGCCAGATCGCACACCCCTAACGTCCTACTATCACATCACAGATGAGAGCATCAGCACTGAGAGGTGTTACAGTGATTGTTCATGTCGGCAGTGACTGTAAAGGCAAAGCTGAATACACAGATTTCAGATCTATCAGCTGGTTGGTGAATGCCGTGGATAACAGCTAGTTACTATTATAGTTTTATCTGCTGTTCTTTAACATGGGCTAGTCTTCTCTATGTGCGTCACATATTCCACAGTGCCTTCATTTCCTGTCAGTGTCTTTTTCTCCATCGCAACACCACAGTTCTGTAGATGTCTCTTACGTTCATCACTATGCCACATTCCATATCCAAAATAGATGAAGAATCCTGTGGATTGATATCAAAGTTAAGATTTCTGTCAAATTTGTATTCCGTTGCGTTTGGATCCATTAGGATGCTTAAAGGCAGTTCATCCAAAAAAAAAAAAAAATAGATCATCAAAGGACAGTTTACCCAATATAAATGTAATATATTAATATATTACTTTAATATAATATATAATATATTCGTATTAATATATTACCTTTATTATTTTATGAATATATATATATATATATTAATAAAATAATAATAAAGTTATAAAGTTAATATATTAATATTAATATATAAATATTTATATATATATAAATTAATAAAATAATAAAAAAAGTTATAAAGGTATCATAAATCTAATCCCAGTCTTGTTAAGGATATAATTGCTTTATATGATGAACAGATTTAATTTAGACTAATTATTTTTGGTAAATACGGGTACATGTCTCATGTGTGAGTCACATGCTAGAACAAACCTCATTGGTTAAATACTTGAAGAAGAAAAAAAACAAGCTTTTGGGTTTAGATCAAAAATTAGGTTAAGTAAACAATGACAGAATTTTCATCACTGGATAAACTATCCTTTCCAATTTTCCACCAACATAAACCTAACCAGTGAAAACCAGCCTGGACCACCATGGAAGTTCATGCTCATCTAAACTGGTCTTTTCTGCAGGGTTTTCTTAGGTTTATTTCCGATTATGCCTGTTTTTCAAGCAAACAGCCTTGAAACGGCAATGAGACCTTTAGATTTGTTTGAATTTGGTTTGGGATTGCATCCTGTGTGTGTTTACTCAAAGTTAGCACGTACCTATAGCCATCCAGATGGAGAAACGGATCCACGTGTCGCCGCTGAGCTGAACCATGAGATACACGTTGACAAATATACTCAAGATGGGTAGAAAGGGCAACAGAGGAACCTGAAGCAAAAAATACACACTGCTTCAAACATGTGCTTGACTGCACTCTGCTCAGCACTCGCTAATGAAATGATCCAGACTAAAACAGAAAAAACACAATGAATGGAGACTCTCTCGGGTCATATCACATTGTTTTTCATGTTAGATAGCAAGGATAGCACACAATACGGCCCTCCAAAGAACACAGAGTGCTTGGCAAACAGATATTTTATGCAGGCTATTACCCTAAAACCCAGTGCTCATCTGGGCAGAATACACAACAAGATGAACAGAGCAGCAACGGTTTAACATGGTGCACGTTTATTAAAAGGAAAGTACATCCCAAAATGAAAGTTCTGTCATTATTTACTCACCTTCACATCGTTTCATTTTAGATTTTAGGCAGATTGTTGCTGCTCTTTTCAATACAATAAAAGTGAAAGGATTATAGCAGCAGTCCTCACAACCTGTGTACCTTGTGAAGTCATAGTGGACACCATTCACTTATATTGTATGGAAAAGAGCAGTATCCTCTTTTTGTGTTCCACAGAAGAAGAAAAAATAGGCTTGGTGATCATTTTTGGGTGAACTATCCCTTTAAGAGTGTGAACGGCATGTATATTTACACACATAAAAAAATATTTTTGTTA